TGTGTCTCTTTAAAGCCTCTGACTGCTTCTAAAACTCCACCTTCAGGATGTCATCCCAACATGGCTCCTTTATTAAGCTTGACCTGGCACTGAGAAGTTCCACTGAGAAGCAGCTTCTATAAACAGCTCAGTAGATGCGCAGGTCCAGCAGATGTTTGCTAATAGCTCCTGGCTAGTCTGAAGGAGCTGAGTGGGGGGGAGTCCTGGGGGAGAGCGAATCTGAGGCAGAAGCTCACAAGCTATGAAATTGAAGAGCAGCTGCGCCTCGAAGGCGGGGCTAGGTCCACCCAGGCGTTTTGCACAGCTGAATGGTTGCCATGGAGATTAAAGGATTTCTCAAACATGCATGAAAGAATCAAAGCAACACTCCAGGATTGTTTTATATGGGAGAATGACGTTATAACATGATGTAAAGCTCATAAACAATTCTCTTTCAAAGTGTACTATTATTTGTTATTAAGGGAGTTAATACTAATAGATAAATAGATGACGAATCTCCTTTCGTCTTGTTTATCTCTTCTTATTAAACATATCGGTCCAGAAGCAATAACTTTAGATGTGGCCTAAATCACACAACGCCCTGTTTTTGAAGACATGGCTGGTGCTTGTGATATAATGAAAATAAGCAAAAGGTAAGTGCGTGACAGCACAAACGACAAATCAATAAAACTGGAGGAAAAGACATTACTAGGAGAAAATGAAGCAGAAAAATGTCTGTCAAACTTCAAGTGCAGGCAACCAATCACATCAGAGCAACACAGCTTAAATTTCCCTTCGATTTCCTGAGCAGGGCAGTCAGCGGGGATTGATTTGTGCTACCTACGTCCTCTGCCCCTTTGTATTTAATACACAGACACTCACAGTCCCAGAGACGGCATGTGCTTCCAGTCTGGTCTGTGTGGACGCCTGGCCATTAACAGTCTGTGGTATCATGTCCCCTGAATTCTCTTAATGTTCTGCTAATGCTCTCTAACAGCATTTAGTGGTAGACGAGATTGAAACATTGATTGTTGCCCCCGGATATGACTTGGACTTGTAGTATCTGTGTTGTCTGCAGAATGACAACATTGTGTGTGTGTGTGTGTGTGTGTGTGTGTGTGTGTGTGTGTGTGTTAGTGTTGTACATGAGCTGAGTGGGGCGGGTGGAAGGAAAGTTCCCCAGAGTACGGACATTATTCATGAGTCTGCTAAGAGCTTCGTCTCTTCTGGGGAACAAGGCGAGAGCAGTCTCTCTGTTTGGGGCGTGTAGGTGGGAAATGCTCATATTTTCTACTTGCCACTCTGATCGGTTAATCACTGCAGACGGTTTCGACGCATTCAAAGTTGGCGCAAATCTTCATTCAGGCCCAGCGAGCCTTAAGACACAGCTGATGAACGTCAAAGTCATTTATGTACAGCGTAATACATAAACAATCAACTGAAAATAAATTCAGACCAGTAAAAGAGTTATTTGATTGATTTGACCTCTTCTGACAGGAATCAAGGCAGCAGGTCTGTTTTCTGCAGTTTTCAGTTTAGTTCTGCTTTTGAGCCACAGGTTTTCAGTGCTGCACAAATAAAATACATTCACAAAAAGATGAAACACGACCCCTGCATCATTAATATTTCACCGTGTAGAAATAAAAAGCCGTTTGTGTTATTGAAGCGTCTGCCTCCAGACATATTGAGCTGAAGTTTTACTGCAGGCTGCTGAGTGACAGCCCCTGTAAAGTGTGGAAACCTTTTCAGTCCTGTTCGTGTTTCTGTGTTTTTCAGTGTGCAAGTTCAAAGCCCACAAACGCTGTGCCGTAAGAGCCACTAACAACTGCAAATGGACGACCTTGGCCTCTATAGGCAAGGACATCATTGAAGATGAGGATGGGGTGAGTTGGTTTGAAGCAACTTCTTACTAACTTTTAAATATAGAGCCATCACAAAGTATTTCACGTTTCTTTCATTTTACGAAGGCAACCTTCAATGCCGACCTGTTGTAAAAAGAATGTCTCGACAAGAGAAGCATTTATCCCATTCTGTAACGTGTGTGTGTGTGTATGTGTGTGTGTGCGTGTGTGTGTGTGTGTGTTAAACCTCCAGATTGCCATGCCTCATCAGTGGTTGGAGGGCAACCTGCCTGTCAGTGCCAAATGTGCCGTGTGTGATAAGACATGTGGCAGCGTGCTAAGGCTGCAGGACTGGCGCTGCCTCTGGTGCAAAGCCATGGTAAGGCATCTGTCACACCGTCATGCTGCACGCAGCGAGCATGCAGAGGAGACTGTGCGTCTGAAGGAACATGTTAGATTGGGCAGCGTGGGAACGTCCTAGCATGATTTTCATCTCAACCGTACGCTTGTCCTGAAGCGCAAACCACATCTGCAAATCACTGCGCACAATGACAAGCTGAAAAACGCAACAACACGTTAAAAAACACAAAATCAAGTTAAGAAAATGGGTCGACGTCAACAAAACGGAAGAGGTAGGTCTTAGTGGGAAACCTGAGACATTGTTGGCCAGCCTGCATGGGCCCCATGCGGGATATGGTCAGGTGTGCTGGCCGGGTGACTGGGCGACACCACCTTTATCTGTAGAACCAGATGTTATGCTGGCTTTAGGGCATTCACTGAAAATATAAATGTTACCGGCGATGCAAATGCAGCTACCGCTATATTTAGAGTCATTAGAAGCTCAGCTCTGTTGTTTTTCACAGTGTGGGAAATACGTAGCACTGTGGCTGCCTTCCTATCTGCCTAAACAGAGAAGAAGCGAATTCAGGAATAATTTCTGGTCCCAAAGCCAAAAGTGTTGTCGCCCAATCAGTGATCTCTCAGGTCTTCCCACTGAGCCTTACTTCGTGTGTTTGGTTAAAGCCGCTGTGTTTTCTGAATATGTGTAGTTTTGTTCAGTGATTAGTTGACGTAGCTCGGTTCCACCGTATATAACTCTATAGCTTGGAGGTTGTTTTAATATTTTCTGCTTACTGGAGCAAATATTTTTCAGCAAGTAATTTTTGTTCCAATAAAATTACAAATGCCCTAAATGAGTCATCTTTGGCATATCAACTACTCCTCTAATTGCAAGAGGAGTAGTTGCTGTCCGTTTTGTTGATTCTGTAGAATGTCAAACAATGTTTTTTTCTTTTATTTCTTCCTCTAGGTGCATACAGCCTGTATGGACCTGTACCCTCGCAAGTGTCCTCTGGGTCAATGCAAAGTCTCCATCATTCCCCCCACGGCGCTCAACAGCATCGATTCAGATGGTAGGCACCGACTGCGCACGCGGTAACCTGTACACTAACTCACTTTGAAAGGTCGGGGGTCAAAGTCTGACTCCACCTGTGAGGAACCGTTCACTCTCACTGGAGCTTTCACTTCATTTGATCTGCTGATCTCTTTTCTTTGACCTCTGACCTGCTGTTCTGTCCGGGAGTGATGTGGTGTGAGAGCAGGATTCGACTTGATTCGATAAACCCATCCACGACCTCTGTGGTCATTATTTGTCAATCTAAGAACAGGCTGGCTGTCATCATCTAATCGGTTATTTTTAATGAGCTTCCTGTTTGTGGTAAAAGACTTCTTGTGACTTTCTTTAAGCGATGGCTTTCTTTTTTGTTGGTTTGGTGGCTGGAGTGGACACAACGGGAGACTGGACAGTTCTGAAATAGATTTGAAAATGAGAGCATTACACTCACAAACAATAGGATACAGGAACTACTGAATACAAATGAACACTGCAATCTTTAGATTTCTATTTGACCATGCTCCACTGTCCTTCCCTTTATAATCACATTCTATTTTGTGTGTGTGTCCCTGTACGTAAAATCCAGCAGCCTCTCTGTTTCCCTGACCCTGAGGTGTCTGGACAGCCTGCCAGATCTCACTGTGAATCCATTCTAGTTCAGCACCTGCGAGACGAACCCTGATAAGCACGCTGGATTAGATTACTGTCTCCGAAGCAATCACACACGGGCCGCTGCGTCTGAAAAGCTGCCATCTTCTAAGTGGCGCCTGAATAATAGAAAAGTGGTGGGATTGAGCATCCAGATGAAGAGAGCAGGACAAGACAGCAGCAGAGGTGAAGCTACGACGACGATGCTCTCACCTCTCTGCGCTCGCGTGCCGAGGATCCCCGCTGCTTAAACGAAGGAGAGCGAAGGGGGCGCTCGGGTTTCAGTGTTGCCAGATTGTGCGGGTTTCCGCCCAGTTGGGCTGTGTTTGGACAGCTGTGGGCGGGTTGTTAATATTTGGGCTGCCTTTCACAACATTATGGCAAGTTTTTAGAAAAATTTCAGAGGAAACCTCTTTCACCGCAAAAAACACCAAACCTTACTGAGTATTTTGGTTCCTAGTGCAAATATCTTCATATCTTTGAAATAAGGCAAAACTAGCTTACTTTTTCATCAGTACTGAGGAATTATTGACTTAAAACAAGCTTCTATATGTTGCTGAAAAATTACTTGTAAGTTAGGTTTTGTCTTATTTCAAGTGTGCTAAGATATTTGCACTAGAAACCAGACCAAAAATACTTTGTAAGATTTTGTGTTTTTGCAGGTTTTTTGTAGAAACGCACAAGACTTTCCGTGTTATTGCACTTAACCTGAATGTGACGTCATCAGTGACTAGTCGTTTCTTCGTCATGTGTCTCTACGTAGCAGCATTAAAACAGAAATCCCAGGGCAACATCATGATTTAAAAGGAAATGTCTCTCAAGTCTCATTCCGTTCAAAGAGTCAAATCCTTTGCAGTTTCAATGGCATCTGGTTCTGTTCAGAACATAATAAAGGAAAACCAAAATTGTTGCAAATTGTCCAAATGTATATAACATTCCATTTTAGCTTTTTATTTCATAGTTCATGTAACAACCAAAAGAAATCATGAATGAAGAGGAACAGAAAGAGACATACATTTATAATATCTGCCCCATTTTCACATAAATGGGGCAGATAAAAAAGAGCTGCTTGAGACTGAAGACTTTTGTCATGTAGTTTTTGGTGGAAAAGAGAGAAAAGATTGAGCTTGTTTCATCATGCGATTAATTTCTTTCTTTCTTATTGCAACAAAACTACTTTTATGAACAAATTTCAAATACACAGAAAAACATCAGCCCATTTTTCAAATTTCTTTTAAATGCAGAAAGAGATTTTGATTGTTTTTTTGGGTGTTAGGATCCTTCCGTACACCAACACCTTTAATTGAATCGTCTCAGTGCTGAATGTACATTTTTTGAAAATGTCACATCCCTTTTAAGTTGTGTTTGCGTTCTCTCTTTACATTTTGGATATTGTTTGGAATATTATTGGGACTACATCAACATCACTTTCATTAGAGGTTGAGACACGCTGTTTTTTTGGAGTCTGATCTGGCAACCCTGTTGGTTTTATCTGGCTGAGGGAGTGTGATGCGTGTGTGCGTGTGTGTGTGTGTGTGTTGTTTGGGGAACGGAGGAGGGGGGACACGAGCTGCAGCACGTGCCGCAGCGCCGTGGCTCCCTGTCTCCGCTTCCTCTCTCTCCCCTACCACTCACCCTCTTCTTCCTCCATTCCTTAGCAACAGCACGACAGAGAAAGGGAGGCAGAAAGAAGGGGGGAAATCAAAGCGGAGCGCAGATGAAGACACTAAAGAGCAAAGACTGGGGGGAGGGTGTGAGGGGAGCTATAGTACGCAGAAGGCTGTCATCACCAAGGTTTTCCTTAAGGACCAGGGCGCCTTGCTGCTTTGCCTCCCACAGATCAGCCTATAGCACGTGTTCTTACCTCATGTCACCGTCACACACGGTTTTGATGAACGGTGGAGAGCGGGGTCGGATCCATGTGATAGACTCTACCTGCACCACTTTGCTCCCTCGTATTTATCACTCTTTCAAACAACACTTCGTCAGCCGGAAAGTCAGTTTATACAAAAGCGTCGGTAGGTGATTAAATAGAGAGGCTTTCTAAACTTCATGATACACAAAGGGAACCAGATTGAGATGCTTTAAATAGGCCGTCATAAAGAAACCCTCATCAAACCGCGCCGTTGTTTTCTTGCCGTTCTTGTTGCTGAACTGCCAAGGAGGAGCAGGTGGGAATGTTCAAACTGAAACGGTGGATTTCCTGCAGGCTTCTGGAAGGCCACCTGTCCCCCGTCGTGTGCCAGTCCCCTCCTGGTCTTCGTCAACTCGAAAAGCGGCGACAACCAGGGGGTGAAGTTCCTGCGACGCTTCAAGCAGCTTCTCAACCCGGCACAAGTCTTTGACCTGGTCAACGGGGGTCCACACCTCGGGTGAGGAGATGAACCCGGCGCTACTGCTTATGGGTTTGGGGTTTTTTTGTTAAGTGCCTTCAGATGACATTAGTTGTGAATTGGGGCCATGCAAATAAAGTTGAATTGACCTGAACTGGTTTTGTTTCTCCGTCAGCCTGCGTCTGTTCCAGAAGTTTGACAACTTTCGGATCCTGGTGTGTGGCGGCGACGGCAGCGTGGGATGGGTCCTGTCAGAGATAGACAAACTCAACCTCCACAAGCAGGTGATCCAGGGGACAGGAATGTGTGGCTGATGTGTTTGAACTTAGTCTTGTCTTAACACCCTTGAAGATTCTCACATTATAATCACATATTGCAATATATCTTAATCAAGGTTTTCAATCGCACAAAACAGTGAAGTTTAATGAAAATTATGGGGTTTTTTTTTACTCTTTAAAATCAGATATTTGGAAAGTGTTGTGTGCTTTAAAACTGCAGTATGTGACTTCTATAAAATATGGTTTTTTACATATTTGTTAAAATTGTCATTATGTTGTGACGGCATAAGAATTTGAAAAAATTCAAGCTTCTCCACCTCCTTCCTGAGATACCGGACAAAAACAACCAACCAGGGCCAGGAGGCGGGTCTTAGCGTTGTTAATCACCCTCCTGTATGCGCTGTTCGACGTGCTAATTGAGGAAAAACAACTTACCATTACAGAAAACAGTTTCCCCGCTGCCATTGGTGGCTATGCTACTAGCATTAACATTTATTGCAGGCTACGCTGTGATGCACCAGCTGTAGCAGCAGAGAGCAAAGCAGGAGGTTGTGAGCAGTTACACTAGGATGATTGACAGCGCTAAGAACCACCTTCTGGCTCTGATTGGTTGTTTTTGACAGGGAGAATTTCTGCAGATCACTGCAGCAGTACAGGAGGGAGGTGGAGGAGATTGATTACACACAGATTCATCTGTCTCATAACATAATGTCCCGTCGTGACAGTGCAAAACACAAGATTTATTTCAAAAGTTACATATTGCAGCTTTAAGTAGAAAACAGGAAGGCTGAATGGAGCAAAGCAACCTCGCTCTGTTTCATTCCTCCGACCTGTAACCATGTTGGATTTTTGGGAACCTCAATCTGTGAACTCCCAGCAGATGGTTTGTCTTTCCTGCTGGCCGACTTCCATAAAACACAGTCATGTAACCGGAGCAGCGACGTCACCGCGCCGCCCAGTAAACCCCTGTGCCTGCTGCCTTTCAGTGCCAGCTGGGGGTGTTGCCCCTCGGCACCGGCAACGATCTGGCCCGGGTGCTGGGCTGGGGCCCTTCGTGCGACGACGACACCCAGCTGCCCCAGATCCTGGAGAAGCTGGAGCGGGCCAGCACCAAGATGCTGGACCGCTGGAGCATCATGACCTACGAGATCAAGATCCCACCCAAACACAGCTACCCCACCACGCCCGAGGGAGCCGACGACTGCCAGGTAGACGGAACGACCAACACGCACACTCTGACACAGCAGGACCTCCAGACAGACCGGAGAGCGCCTGACTTATGTTTTTTTTTATTTTTTTTATGCTGCTTCACTTCAGCTGAGGTTCAGAACAGGAAGAAGAAGAAAAAGAAGAAAAACGATCCCTCTGCATCAAACTGACACCATTCATCTGTTTCTTTCTTTATGCAGTTTCACATTTCAGCGTATGAACACTCAGTGACCACTCACCTCACAAAGATCCTCAACTCAGAGCAGCACTCTGTGGTCATCTCCTCTGCCAAGTAAGTGCTCCACTGTAAGAAGTCAGCCTGTGAACTGGAGCCTTTAATTGGACTGAATGTCAACAGAAAATAAATTTTAAGAGCTGCTGCTGCATCAGTAAAACCAGGTCTGGAAAGCAAGTTATGGGGAGCACAAGTTTATTTTAACACTCGAAAAACAGTAAATTTTATCAAGTATTTCTGTCTAGCTTTTAGTGCAAATATCCTGGAATGAGACAAAACTTACTTGCAAGTAGCTTTTCAACAAGATATAGAAGCTTGATTTAAGAAAAATAATTCCTTAATATTGGTGAATAAGTAGTAGATTCATTGACAAATTATTTCATTTAAACAAGACAATATTCTCCCAGTGGAACTGGTACTTTTTCATCAGCATTAAGGAATTATTGTTTTAAATCGGTCTCCTATATCATTCTGAAACGTTATTTGTAAGTTTGTCTTATTTCGAGAATCCTGAGAGGCGTGCAGTGAAGAAAAATCCAACACAGGCTTATTTAAATAAAATTTGAGACAATTGGAAATTAAAAAACTGACTGAAAATACTTGGTAAGATTTTGTGTTTTTGCAGAGCAGCAGGCCAAATACAGTAGATTCGATTCTGACTGGGACATCTCTGGCGTTATTGCAGCGTCTGCATCTGAAAACAGCAAAGGAATGATGATTAATTTTCTTTTGTGTTTCTCAGGATTCTGTGCGAAACTGTGAAGGATTTTATTGCCAAAGTGGGGAAAGCGTATGAAAAAAGCACAGAGAACGTTGAGGAATGCGACTCCATGTCTCTCAAAGTAAGCAAAAACAAGAGAAAAGAATCACCATTTTCCTGTTTAATTTTCTTTAACTTGTCTTTTTTTTTTCTAACTGCCTCCCCCCTCCCATCAGTGTGCCATCCTGAACGAGAAGCTGGACTCCCTCCTGCAGACGCTGAACGCAGAGTGCCAGTCCCTGCCGCCGCTTCCCCACTGCACCCCTCCGATCGTGGAAGAAGAACAAGAGGAGGAAGAAGAGGAAGAGGAGGAGGAGGAGGAGGCCAGCGAGGAGAGCTTAACGGAGCTCAAGGGGAAGCTGGAGGAGGAGGAGACGGAGAAGGGGCGCGGGGGCAGCGGGCCCCCCCAGCAGCTGTTTAAAAGCCGGGAGCAGCTGATGCTCAGGGCCAACAGTCTGAAGAAAGCCGTCCGGCAAATCATAGACCAGGCTGTGAGAGGTGCACTTACTTTCTGACCTCTGATGACTTAGGATTCTGCGTGTTTGAAATATTGTTTTATTATTGGAGGCAAATGCTTATAAGAAAGCGCGAGCACCTGCAGCTAGCCCTGTCACCTTCACATAAACATAAACGATAAACTGCCCCAGCAGATATTGCGATAAACGATGATATTGTTGTTTTTGAGATGTAATAGTTCACACTGGACCTGGACAATATTTTAAATATGCTAAATAAAATACCTCAAACATAAACAAGAAATAAAATGAAAATAAAAAAAAATTTGGTTTCCATTGTACACTCTGGAAGAGTGTATTGGTGAATAAAATCCACACTAAATGAAATATTCAAAAACCCAAAATGTTATAAATCGATGATCAAATCAATGCCAGGACTGTCCTTGACTGATGATAAACCGCAAACGAGACTTCTTCCGTTTTTTTCCTCCCCAGCCAGTAAAAGAGGTGTGAATACTTTTGCGCTACGTCTATGTATTTTTTTATTATTATTATTATTGTTATTATTTTACGGGATGTTCAGCGCATCGTCTTCACTCCTCCGCTTTCTCTCTGCAGTGGTGGACGAGCAGAACGCCCACACGGATGACACGGAGCTTCCGTCGCCGCTGGAGTTCAGGAAGGACAGCGAGGACGAGAACAGGGACAGCGAGAAGGACGAGGACACCAAGGAACTGGAGGCGGTGTCGTGTGAGTGTTTACTCCTTCACTCTGGCCTCTGACCTGCCAGACGTCCAGGTTACACTCCGCCTGCAAACCTTCCACTGACCGACTCTGTAGATTAAAAAAAAAAACTTCACTTGTTGCTGAAAGGGAGTTTAAATGTCGCCACCTTGTGGATATTCCACTCATTGCAGCGTAGGGATCAGACACACGGCTCATGGAAAAATGTTCTGCTGACGCAAATCATGTTTCCTGTCATAAATAAACTCAGGGATTAGTGCTAAAAGTGAGCGCAGAGGAGCTTCCCTCCTGTGGTATTCCACCTCCTGCTTCAGGCTGAGCTGTTTATCTTCACATCTGCAGTTTTCCACAACAGCCTGTTGACACGGAGAAGTTCTCCGGTGATAAATGAGCCTACCTGACGGCAGGGCAGAGCTGCTGTTTGTAGCTGTCTTCCAAGTCCAGACAGGTTACCATGGAGACTCCCCTCCCCTGGACCGACCACAGGACGTTTCAACCTCTGCGGGGCAGAACGCCTTCCTGTTTATCCGAGTCCTGTTTCCTTTCTTCCTCACTTTTTTATTACAGTTAGTCGACATGCTGGTAGCACTCGAATGCTCAGCTTCTTGACTTTTCTGACCTGGAAGCACCAGAGTCTGAAAACACAAAGACGGTTTTAGGTGTTTAAGTTAGATAAATTATCCCTTTCATATCTTTATGTCTTATTTCTTACCTAACGTCTGTGGGTGTGTGATATGGGCTTTGAATTTTATCATGATATTCTGCAGTACTACTGCAGTAACAATTAAAATTAGTCTTAAAAAACATTCCTGTTTGAAACGGGCTTAAACATGCACCGCCTGCTTAAAGAAATGTGATTAATACAGAGACTTTATGTAATCATCTTTTCAAATTTACTGCTATTTATTGATGTTCTCATGGAAGAAAACAATATGAGAAAACTATAAATGTAACATGTTAGCTTTTTTTAAATGAGCTGAAATTTATCATGACATCAATAAATCAAACTTCTTATCATGACAAGAAATTAAAAAAGGAAAAAAGAAACGGAGTGTCACTTTTTTTATTTTTCCGACTGAAAAATCTCTAAGTTAGCCAGGCAGGATGAAGAAAAAACTGGGTGCAATTTATCAGTGCACACCTAGTAAAAGATATTTCCCAAAGTAACAAATTGTGCTCGATGTTAGCAGTTTTATAAAAACGATCAAGCTGAGCTCATTTTTGCTGCATTAGAAAACATCCAGTTCCAGCTGAAGAAAACAACACTGACCTTCTGAGAAACCAGCTTCAGCTTACATTTCCTTCTGATGCATTACAGTTGAAATCTTCTAAGTTGATTATTTGTGGAGCATGTTTTTCAGTCCGCAGAGACCCTGTCTCTGCGAGAGAAGGACGGGTTCAGTTTAGCGATAAGTTTTAAGGAGCAAAGCAGATAGATGCTCACACAGTGAGAACAGTCATAGAGGTGTAAATTGATCTTGTCCAAGAAGGATCTGCTATGAAGTAGGTCACTGTCAGCTGATAAGTATTACCTGTTTTTAGACTAATCGTAGTAAAAGTAGACATTACAGTTAGTCGTTTAGCTTTATAGGAATTAGCCTGTATTTGGAGGGTTTGTTTTATTCGGCTGCTTCATTAGCTGTTACCACAGTGCACAGCGTCAGTATTAGGTGAAACAGGTTATATTTTACACGGTGTGTCGTTTTGAACCCCAGGAACCATTCAGTTCAGTCGAGAAAAGACTGAAGCGTTCCCTGTGTGCTTCTGTGTGTGTTCAGCCGCCAGGAGCCCCTGTTCCCCGACAGAGAGCAGGGTGAGCCGCAGCACCCAGTCGTACGGCCCCTTCACCATCACCCCCTTCACCACCAGCAAGGAGAACCTCCCCGTGCTCAACACACGCATCATCTGCCCTGGTAAACACACACAC